GTTCTCCCGGTATCAAGGCCGGCACGTGATTGTGTTGTTTGATAAGCCCAACTTGCAAGTTGCTCATTTGGCCGTGCGTCTATTCGTTTTCTTTTGGCTTCCCAGCACCCACCCACATTTGCGAGGCCGCATTTGCGAGGCCGCATTTGAAACGTTTTCCTCCCGACTTCGTGCAGGCAAGGCTTTGGAGAGCGCCATTGCCACCGCCCAAGCGCTGCAGGACACTGGCAGGCTGCTTGGCGGCCGAGCCGCGGGTGCGCCGGTTTTAGTTTTTAGAGGCGGGTATGCCCTTGGGCGGGTAAAAGGGGATTTGCCAAAGAGGCACATTCAGGAGGGTAATCTTTATTTTTTTTGAGGGTTTGCTTTCAAGGTTGGTTCAAGCGGACCACAGGAAGGCCGAAGCTTGGCTGGGGGGTCCAAATTCCTATTTGGACACACACAAACATACACACGCATACTGCCCATCCACAATGTGAACGTCAGATCAATCAGAGGAACTACCCCCAAAATTAGATCATTGTTTGACCGAGGGGCTGGGGATTAATCCAACGTGAACTCTTGGGGTTAATCTCAGCGGTAGGGTTTCTGCCAGCTGGTGCAGGATTCTGTCCAGCAGCATGTTCCTATCTTGAAATGTTCAGTTGCAACCAACGCCTCTCAACATGTAGGTGAGAATACAACATTGGGGGCCTTTTTTAGGTCTAGGTGCCCACAAATCCCCGGGGCCAACTCGCCTTTTCCAGGGCTTAGGGCGCGGGGGGCTTGCTCGTTTGGGCTCCAAGGCTGGAGGTGTCGCTCGCACAAAGTTCCTTCTCAGCTCGGATTCGGTACCAAGCCGCTGGCTTCAAGTCCACCACTCATCTTAGTGAGGCAGAAGCGCGTGCCTGGGCCGCAGAGAGGGAGATGGTGGGTAAAATCAAAAAGAGCCTTTTCAGGTGAATTGGTGCAGCAGCTGACCTTCTACAGCGCCTTGGCAGCTGTTGTCTCTGGGCGAGCTTTTGGGAAGTATAGGCTCATTCTCAGGGAAACCAAAAGGACAACAATCATTTCAGAGCAAATCCAACCATTGACATGTCTGCGCGGTTCCGGGTCGGTTTTCGGACCCGGACAGAGCGGGCCCAAGGTCGTGGCCAGAGCGACCCCAACGCCAGCGTGAAGGTGGCTGTAAGCTGCAGGGACCTGTGTCGGAAGGCGCGGACACGCCCAAAAGCTTCCCCCCCAAAGTGCAAATTGAGTTGGTGCGGATTGATCAATATTCCCTTCGGCCCCCCACATCACCATGGCTAACTTTTCTCAATGTGGAAAAGAATAGATTTGGTGGTTTTCCCCAATGGTCATGCTCTTAGTAGGTGGATTTACCTGGTGTATGATGCAGACCTGTGTGTGCGTGTTTCTTTTGTTGAGGGTACCCCTTTTTGGATTTCAAGGAAAGCCGCAAGGAAACTCACACCATGTTGGGGATCCCCCTAAAAACGACACCCCCAAATAAACCTTCAGAATCTGTCTAGAACCAAAAGTGAATGGGTTCCAGGCACACACTTTGGGGTCGGTAGGCCCAGAGAGGCTCCCAAGTGGTTTGAAGCGGCTCCGAGCTTTTTCGGGGCGTGTCCTACTCAGGTGCTGATGATACACGGCCCCCCTGGGTGAAACAGGAACCCTCCACACACAGGCGGAATGAATGCGGTTCCTTGTTGTCCGGAGGAATGGCACTGATACTTCGCCTCAAATTCCTGCACGCGCGGACGGGACAACAGCTTGAGTGTTGCAATGTGCATGCGTGGTATCCATGACAAGTTGCTAAACCAGGTATTCAGCACTGCGATGGTTCGCATCTCAACTCCAGGGTTGATGTGTCCGCAACCTCGTTCTGAAACATATCTACAGCCCCGTGACTGCCGTAGCCTCTTTTTCCGATCTCAGGCGATGAACGTGGTGTCCAAGCTCCGCACTTTGAGGTCCAAAGGGCACCCGCAGTACCAGTGCTGCCAGGCGGTGGATCAAAAGCTCCCGTTGGAAACCAACAAAGAAAGCCACCAAAAACCAAAAGGAGGATGGTTTGTATGCGAAGTCTCGTCATCGCCATTTGGGCGGGGGGGGGGGGGGCAGGTTTTGGTGCCGCTGAGCTCCATCCCGGAGCTGGACGCTGAGGCTGAAGGCCTGCAGCAGCAGTGCCAGGACTGGGAGCGTCTCTGGCGCCAGAAGCGGCGCGACCATCCGCTGCTGGCCTTCTTCGACAGCCACGAGCTCTTCTCCATGGTGGTGCTGTGCTCGGGCCACCCGCTCCGCAGAAACGTCATCGAGGCCATGCGCAACGTGCAGTGGCCGAAGGAGGAAGAGGAGGAGAAGAAGCAACTCTTTCCCCTTGCGGTTTGAAACTTCACCATTTTTACCCATACAACAACCCCACAAAGAGTCCGGGTCCCTGAAACACACCAGGAGAAGGTGAGTTGCAGTACATTCTGGGGAAATGGGGGGGTGGTTGATCAAAAGGTCCTTCACATGGGATGTCCATCAGCGAAACTACCGAAAAGATGACTTTGAAGGGGATATTGATCAACCCCCAGATGTCGCTCCCAGGACAAGGAATTGTTGGAGCAGCTGTCGGCGGAGTGCCTCGCAAGCTTTGTGCACAGCCTGCAAACGGCGACGTTCCCGGCCGAGCTGGCTCTCGCCTTCAGGAGAGTTCTCCTGAACCCGCTTTGAACAAAGTAGGGGACCAAAGGGAAATCAACCTTGTTGGTGACCCACGAATCTTGAGAGGAGAAATCAGATCCAATGGCACCCCCGTGTGTCAGTCACGTCTGACGGCGCCTGTGAGGAGGCACAGCGTTCCATCGCCTTCGGAGCAGCCGAAGGCAATGGTGGATGCCCTGCTGCGGGTGTTGGACAAAGCCGGCGTGGCTGTGGCCCCCAAGTTGGTGGCTAAGCGCTCCGGGCGCCAAGAGGCCTGCGGCTTGGGGTTTTCCTTCAAATTCGGATGGGTTCTCTTCGTCCTCTGGTTGGGATGGGTTTCCCTGTATCAAACAAACTGGGTACCCATTTTGTTCATCTCCAAGTTCGAGACACCACACATAAGCTCTTTTTTTTTCTACAGGGCGGCTCCCAGTGAGGCTGTGAGCCTCGATGTGGACAACTTTCGCATGGAACTGTCCCTGCTGGCTCGCAGCTTCCAGAACCGCATCGAGTGCTTCTCTGGGCGGTGTGTCCTGCGGTGCCACGACGCTTTGCCTCACACAGCCTTGGAGGACCCACGAGCCGACTGTCAGCTTCCCACTCAAACCGGTGGTTTGGATTGGTTTGGTGGTTCGGGGTGGCTTCCAATTTTCCCTCTACAAGAACCAGCCTGGTGGGTTACATGATACTGGTGCGGCTTATCCCTGCATTTGTTTAACTCAAAGGAAAGGAAAGGATTCCCAGCTCCAACTGGCAGCCATCCATTTTTCTTCTGTGGTTCACTTAACCTACCCGTTTTCCCTTTGGTTTCAGGTTACAATTCTTGACGGACTCACCGGCTTCGATGCACTTCTTGCCAGGACTTCCTCCAGCGCTGCGAGAGTTTGCCCGGCGGCACCTTCGTGATCCTCGGGGTCAACCTGCTGTCGGCCCGGCAGCAGCGTCGTGTCCAGAGCTTCCAGCTCCAGTTGAACCAAGAGGATCATCACGCGCAGGCCCCTCCATCGGAGATCCCAGAAATCCATTGCTCATGTTGGACTCTGAACGCATAGATGTATGTCAAACCATAAGGCCACGTAAGGTTGTATGATGTATGTATGTTTTGCATCGCATGGATTGCACATCGTATACTCGTATTTATTCTTTTGGTCTAGTGTCTCTCTCTCTCTCTCTGTGTTTTGGGAGGGGGCATGTTCTTAGGCCAACAAAACGGATACATTGTCAAATCATCAACCTCAGCAGCTTCCAGCTTTTAATAAGCCTGTTTCACTCAGAGATACAACTACTACCAGATTAACAAATACATACAACAAATATACGTATGACCCTATGTAAAACATGCTAACCGCACAGCAAGCGACATTTGACGCATGCTCCAAACACACCACCGGGCTCAGAGACGACGTGTTAAACATGCGAGACAACACAATACATGAGGTTTGAAACAAGCCAAACAGGCTCTCGCGGCCGCGTGTGAAGCATGCCAACACCACACACGCCGGGCTGACGGACACCTGCAAATTCATGTCTCACAAGACGCACCAGGACTTCGGACCTGCGAAGCATGCCAAGCACACATCAAACTCACTCACATCAATATAAATGCCTGAAGTGCACCGGGCTTGTAGACAATGACCAATATGCCAAACACGCACCCGGGCTCACTGACGAGTGAGGTGTCAAAGTACAAGGCTTGGAACGATGTGTGCAACATGGAACCAGCACACCAGACTCTGGACGACCATGTGATAGGCTTCCGGACTTTGCATTCCGAGATTCATTGACCTCAGAGCAATTGGCAAGGGACCAGCGTTGGGACATTGCTTTGTTACGGTGTCAAAGCAAGAATAGGCTCGCGGATCAGGTGTGACATGCCAAACACCACGCACTCACGGACGACAGCGGGTGACACCTGCAACACGGGCACCAGACCCCAAAGGCTTAAGTTATGCAGCAAACAAGAGGTTTGACTTGGGCCACATCGTTTTGTGGTCGTTACCCTCTCACCTGCTAACATGGAACCCACAAGATGCGCCTACCAGAGGAAACTTGTCTTCCAGGACCCCCCCCCCTCGCCCAGTCATTTTTTGCTTTTTTGTTCGAGGTACGTATAACATGAAACCAGTGCAGTGGAAGAGGCAGACGTCACTGAGGTGGTGTACGCTTATTCGGGTGCCGTGCCACAGCTTCCCGACTTCATCAAAACCTCGTCCCTCTCGCCTCTTTCTGATCAAGAGCTTCAAACATCACTTCGCCCCTTGCAGAAGTCTCTGGTGACTCTGATTTGCGGTCTGCCGGGCACCGGCAAGACGGAGCAGATGAAGGGGCTGGTAGGGGATGTTCCGCTGCTGAGCATCACCGAGCAATACGACGAGGCGAAGGCCCAGGCCACTTTGAACACTTTGGCCGCCAGAGGCGAGCGCATCGGCCTCAAGATCTCTGAGAATGCGGACAAGCGCCAGGTGAGCAGCGACGAAAGCCGACCCCGAAAATGGGCCATGTTAGTAGGTGCTAGTGGGTCGTTCTAGTGGTCCAGCTTGTTTGTTGGGGATCGTAGTGCTGCTTATACCAACCATTTTAACTTTAGAGCCTCCGGCTCAGTCCGCCGACATTGACCTCTTCTTCTCTTCCTGTTTCTGCTCTGCTCTTCTCTTATCTTCTCTTATCTTCCCTTCTCTTGGCTTCTTTTGTAATCGGACGAACATCTCCAAGCGGTAAGTTCTCTCTCTCTCTCTCTCTCCCTCTCCCTCTCCCTCTCCCTCTCCCTCTCTTCTCTATCCTCTCTCTCTTTATCTACCCCCTTGATTGCCCCTTCATTTCCTTCTCATGTCCCGTCATTTCCTTTCATGTCCCGGCACTGCCTATCATTTCCTCGTTCTGTCCCCTTCATTTCCTGTCAATTCCAGCTTTATGTCCCTGTCATTTTCTCGGTATTTCGGCTTCATTTTCGATTTATGCCCCACTCATTGCCAGCCATTTCCCTACATGTCCCTTCGCGTCCGTTGATTTCCTCATCACTGTCTGTCATTTCCCTTCGTTTCCCCTGCATTCCCCCTTCATCTCCCCTGCATTTCTCACACCTCATCTGTTAGAGCTTGCCTCTATCAATTTGTGGGAAATTTGGGTGGAAATTGGGGTGGAAATTTGGAGGGAAGTTGGGGGGGATTTTTGGGGAATTTGCGGGGACATTTGGGGGGAACTGGGGGGGAAATTGGGGGCAAGTCGGATGGAAATTGGGAGGAAATTGGGGGGACATTGGTGGGAAATTAAGGGGACATTTCGGGAAAATTGTGGAAATTTGGGAAGGTGGGGGGGGAATTTGGAGGGAAATTTGGGGGAGATTGGGTCGAAATTTGGGGGAATTGACGGGACATTGGGGGGAAGTTGGGGGAAGGGGAAATTGGGGGGTAAAGAGTTATTGCTACAGGCAAGGCTTAACTCATCTGCATTCCCTCTACAAGTCACGCAAAGAAGGTGGTCAAGGAAGTCAAAAAGCACTGTGTTTTTCAATGGCTTCAGCAAAGAGAAAGCACAAAACACCGTGTTTTTTTTGGATGTTTTCAGCAAAAGGAAGCGCAAAACCTGAGCCGGCAGAGAGAGGCGGCAGGGGGATTCGAGCCTGGGACCCCTGTTTCTCCAGTCCCCGAAGACTATGTTTATCAGACCGTCATCAAATTGCGGCGCGGTACGTGAGGGAGGGGGTGAGACCCACTGCCGGGGTGCCTATCCCAGAAGGGAACTGGTACCCTTGTGGTAGTAGAGGTCGTTCATTTGGTCCCTGGATCTATTCCGGAGAGAGTCCAATATACCAATATGGATGATTGGAGGATGGATTGTCCCTGGTGGATTTGTATTGTATAATCCTATAAGCGGCCTGCAAAGGTTCCTTTGTCACGCAATCATGAGTATTGCTATGGTACAGAAGGGCCTTGAGCCAAATGGTTGCGGGAGATCAATTGTGTAACAAACCAAACACAAAACAGACACAAATTTCTTTTGATGTCCAGCACTAGATATGAAATATCATTGGCTTCATGGCCTTTGGCCGTAGCCTTGTTTTATGCCGTAGCCATGTGTATTGAAATACTGGATTCATCCTATTTTCTGCGCGGATGAAATGTCTTGACTTGCAAAATGGAAAACAGTGTGTACTGATTCCATGAGATACCTAGATGTATCGAAAGGCGATGCACAACGCTATGTACATGCGGGACGAATGTGAAACTATTGATCTCTCACTGAATAGTCTTGTTGGCGGTGAGGATCAATCTGATTGAAGTTCGTAGCGCTGAACGTGTGAGTCTTCTCGGTCAGTCGAATGCGTGCCAAAGGTGGCTGCTTCACCAGGTGATGAGCGGTACCACCAACGGCTGCTGTCAGATTGACTGCCATAGTCTCCATAATCATTCCAGGTCGAGTCGCCATAGCCCTTCCACTGCTTCTGATATCCCCACTGCTTGTTGTAGTCCTTATACTCCTGCAGGTCCAGGATTGCTTCTTCTTGAGGTACTCCTTGGATCTCTCAAAGTTGCGTTGCCTGGCTGCAGATTTGCTGCGGATGTAAACCATGAGGGGACTGTGCGAATCGGAATCCTGTGAGCCATTCATGAACATGTCATTGTTCACGTGCTTAAAGCGCTCTGCGATGAGACCCGGTAATCGAATATGGCTTTTGTTGGATCGTTCCGCGTGGCTTCTAGTTGTTCATCATCCATGGCGTTCATCTCCTGATTCCGGAAAGCCTGCTGGATATTCGTTTTGCCCCATCCAAACACGAAAGTCATCATCACATCTGGGAATGTTCGATCATATCCTGATCCACTCTTCATGTACAGGTGATGACGGACAATGGATTTTAGGGTGCACGAAGTCTCCATCGCATACTCCATTCTGTCCACGAGTGGCAGATTATTCGTTTCATTCCACAGTCTCTGGTATGCCTTCATGAGGATGTTCATGAGACCGTTGGCCGGATTGAAAACGTGCTGGAGTTTGCTGTAGGTATTCGCGGATTTGTTGGCGTCTCCGGTGATCGCATCGCATCGGTACAATGTCACGAGCGGCATGATTTCTGTCTGAAAATCTTCCCGTGCTGCCCAATGGCTGATTGATGGATGAATGTGGAAAACTCCAACGGTAGCAAACGGGAGGTCTGCCCTCGTTACGTGGCGGTCGTCAAACTCGAGGAGTGATTTGTTGGTTGATTTCGGGAGCATGCCACGAAACTCATCACTCTGCTCGATGTGGAGAACGACAATCTCTTTGTCTCGTCCGTGTCCTTGGACAATGGTGCGTGTTGGCAATCTCGGTCCAATGTACTTCTTGGATTCAGCGAACATGGATGGTCCCGAGTTGCCAAGCAGTCCGAGGTCGGAATTTCGTATTCAGGATCAGTGCAATTTTCCTCGGTGCCGAAGAAACATCTGAACATCCCGAATGTGGTTCCCCAATTCTGACTCCTGGTGGAAATATGTCTTGCCAGTAGTTCCACTCTTGCGGAAGGTCCGCCGCGGACAAAGCATGCGATTGGTCTGGATGACCATTGCTTGATCACAATGCCTTTGTACCCGAATCGGATGAACGTCTTGATGAGTTCTCTGGATTTCTCATCATTAGGACTGAAGAATGCGTCTGCTTCATTCAGGCATAAGATGTGTGCACTGTTTTGCATCATCATCTTCACAATTGGTCGATCCTTCATCGGCATGCTATACACCTCCCTGTTATCCAGCTTTGGATTCCTCGTGAGGTTCCCATGGTTCAGAGTAAGCATGTTGATCGTCAGGGATGAGGTGAACTCATGCGTCTTGAGATGGTCCACAGGGGGACGGTCGGTCGGCTGCATCAGCGATCCCAGGATATCGGCATATGCTCGGATGATTTCCGAGTCGTCATGTGACCTAAGCTTCTTCAATCCAAGTGGAAGCTTAATAGGATATCCGGATACTGGTTGTGCCTGCCTGTACTCGTCCATGGTGGGACATTCTCCTCGATGACGGAAGTAGAATTCTTCTTCTCCGAGATTGACATCGGGATCGACGTGTGCCAATGAGGCTCTCTCGCATTCTGTCAATTTGGGATGAGCTCTTCTTGGATCCTTGTTGTACTTTTCCATGAAGCGGAGGAGGTTCTCCCTGGTCTCCGCGAGCTTCCTTGGCGTCTTTTTTGTTCATTTCTTTTTCGAGGTAGATTTCCTTGAGTTCCTGGATGAACTCGTCTAGGTTCTCGGAATTGCGACCTTTGGCTTGACGGATCTCTCCCCGGAGGGTTCCACGGTCTCCTCTTCAGCCTCGTCCTGATCGGTGGAGTGCCGTCGCTTCTTGGTCTCTGAGGAAGTATCTTTTTCCTTGCTGTGTTTGTTGGAATTCACATAACTGAAGAAGGCATCGGCGAATTCACGGATCTTGGTGTCGAGCATCTCCTGCGTGGTCCTCTCTTGGGTGCTTCCACTGTTGTGATTGTCACCCAGTCGTCCACGAGTTCTTCATACCTGAACCAGCTGACTTTTCCGTCGTACGATGGCGGCTGCTTGGCGGTCATCGATAAATTGAGTGTTTCCTCCGTATAGCCTGTTATACTTGAATAGGCTTCCATGAAGCCTTCTCCATCGGATGACATCTTCCTTTGGATCTCTGCGGAAAACCCGCTCCGCTACCACAAATTGAGGCCCACTGCCGGGGTGCCTATCCCAGAAGGTGGTACCCTTATGGTAGTAGAGGTCGTTGATATTTGGTCCCTGGATCTATTCCGGAGAGAGTCCAATATGCAAATATGGATGATTGGATGCAAAGGTTCCTTTGTCACGCAATCATGAGTATTGCTATGGTGCAGAAGGGCCTTGAGCCAAATGGTTGCGGGAGATCAATTGTGTAACAAACCAAACACAGGGGGTTGGGGGGGGGTGTTCTGGGGAAAGGACTAAGGGGGGGGTTATCCTCTATCCTCTCTTAGCTATCCGACACGCCGAACAATGTCGGCGGACTATCTTGGAGCCAAGCGTCAATGGGTTTTGGGGCGCTCAGGTGAACCGCTTGCTCTTCGACCTCATCACCGGCGCTTGGCGCATCCCCGACGGCTCGATCTTTGCCGAGTCGCCCTCAGCCCCGCTGAGGCTGTGCATTGAGGTGCCGCACTGTCCGCATCTGGGGCGCACGCCGGAGGAGCGTGTGGTTCCTCTTGTGGCTACGCTTTTTGGGTCTGCTTCAAAGGAAAACCAGAGGGACAACACGAAGTCCTTTTCTTGGGTCCCCAATTTTGAGACAATCCCAGGAGTCCATGCGAAATGATTATCCTGTCTTGGGAGTGTGCGAACACCAGCTCATGGTGGTCACCAACACGTCTCAAAACCTGAATGTGGGGCCTGATGAGCGCTTTGTGGCAAAGTACTTGCAGGCCGGCAGCTCATAGCTTCAGAGTAAAGCCAGGGATTGCCACCCTGAAGCGTGTGAGTCAAAGAGACCGCCGGGGGCCTGGTGCCTTGCTCGCGCACGGGTTTGTTCTGGTCGGACCGCAAGACAACACAACCCCCGCCAGAGCCAAAATCGTGGTTGTTTGGTTGGAAGGAGGGACATGGGCTCCTTGGCCAAGGTTTACGTTGCAAGAAGTTGCTAAGAGGTGGGATGGGATGTTTTTTTGGTTACTGCTTAGGATTGTCACAGTTCTTGTGGCTTGATTGCGCTGGTTGGTGCCCAGCGAGCATCTAGCATTGACGCAGGCTGGCAAGAACGGCACGATCGACAAGTTGAGTGACTGGCGAAACCCTGTGACGCACGAGGAGGTCCGGGATGACAGCCTTTGCCGTCACTTGGCTGCATGGGATTTTCGAGATTTCCGGCGTGCTTTTTAGCTCCAGTGGAGCTGATGACACCTGAGGTCAGCTGATCCAAGAGGCATTTGCAAGCCACACGCGTGCGACCCACAACAAGCGCAACATCAAGAGCTTCGTTCAGTATTTGGTGAGAAGATTCCAATTCTTCAGCAAGTCCCACTTCTATCTCTACAACGGTGATCACAGGCATATGGGCAGCGCGCTGCTGGGACAGATGCTACGGGAGGCAGCCATGCTGTCAGAGCCCAATATGACCTGCAGCGTGGAGCAGGCAATGCTTGTGTATGATGACGAGTTTGCGCTGTATGTCCTTTCCCGAGAAGACGCAGATCTTCCAGCAAACCTACAGGAGTTCGTGGCGGAGGGGCGCCGCCACTTGCAGAACCTCGAGGATTCGGACCCCTGACCCAGTTCAGCTGCCGATTTTTGCGTGATGCAATCAGCCCAGTTGTTAGATGTTGTAAGGTGGTTATCCCAGTAATGACTCAAAGCGGCTTTCATCCCAAATGGTGCCTGTGGCAAAGGACAGATGCGCAGCCCTGCTCGGGTGGCCTCTGGGACTTCAGCAAAGCGAGGTCAAGCAAGTTTGCGACGAGCAACAGTTTGTACTGGTGCAGGACCTGCGTCGTGTGCGGCAAAGATGGACAAGAAAAAAAACGTTGCTGTCGCGGGACAGTGATCGGAAGATGTGAGTTTGGAGGGCTTGGATGGTTCTCCAGGGTTTTCTCGCGGGGATTCTTCTGGGATACTCTGGAGCTCCCATCTCACTCGCCGCGCGCGTCCGACGTCGGGTGAGTCGGCAGGACATCACCTTCCGTTTGCTGTGCCTCAACGAGCGGCGCCTGGCGCGCATGCCGGTGGTCTTGGATGGGCTCACCGGCGTGGGGAAGACCTTCCCCCTGAAGGTCTACGCCGGGAAGCCCAGAGGGTTGGAATGCGCAAACTGGCGGGTGGTTTTTGGGAGTTGGTGCACTTTTCTGGTCGGAAAGAGAAAGCACCGAACATGAGGGAGTCCCCTGTGAGACATATCCTTGCCTTCCCTTTGACATTGACACGACCCCAACCTGCTACAAGAGACACACCCAGAATGTATTCTTTTTTGCTTTCCTTTTGAAACGCCCCCAAACAAGGCAGCCACCTCAAGGGACAGCCAGTCTATGGTCACTTTGTGTGCTTCTCAAAAAGGCGGATCCCCTTTTGGAGGTGTAAAGGGGAACCAAACAAAAACAAGCCCTTGCAGGCGGGTCCCAATTTTGAGCGCCAACTTTAGAGCCTGGAGGCTCATTCCGCCAACTTCTGCTGCGGTTGGTGGAGTGAGTGGTGACATGCTCCTTTAATTTGGATGCTTGAAATGTGTGGGATTTTGATGACTAGTGTACGTTTAATGTGGATTGATGTATGATTGATGACTCGGATGGTTGATATATATATATATATATACATATATGGGTCTGTGTTTTTACCGTGTCAGTTCTTGAGTCTTCGTGGGAGGTGGGGCTTGGGCGAGCCATACCCCCGAATCATACCCCGAACCATACCCCCAAGCCATACCCCGAGTCATACCCCTTAAAAACCGCACAAAACAAGAACTGTGGCATTTGCATGTGATCCATGGACAGCTGGAAGCTATAGGGGGTTTAACTTCAAGTGAAGAAGGGGGTCTTGTCAAGAAACAGTGTTAGAGAGCTTGACATGTGGACCGATGCCCGGGGGTAGGGACTCCGAGGTAATACCAGGTTCACTTCTGATTCCTGCATCTATTTTTGAGTCTGCGATGCTTGCATGGTTGGGCTCTGATGTCATGGGGCCAAGTACAGTTGACATGTCCACTCACACACTCACTGGTTACTCGTGGGGCCATTTTGGCTCAAGTGGTGTTCCTTGACACCCGGCTAACCACCTCGGTCTCGTCTTTCTATTTTCAATGGAAAGTGCCAATGTATGGAGTTATAGAGCAATCCTGCACATGTCCTGGTACTAGAGTTGTTTGTAGCATCCGTGGTGCTGTGGCGGGGGGGTGCAGCAAGACGTAAGACGCTGGGACTTGCAGGGCGCTGTGGCGGGGGGTGCCGCTGCTGAGCTTGAAGCTTGGAGCTTTCTTCCTGCAGTCTGTCCGACCAGTCTGTGCGACGCGGTGGAAACAGCTGTCTGTTTTGGGCCAGTGTCGCAGTGAAACACAAGCTGTCTTTGTGCTCCTGGGGTACTCCCCCGATTCATACCCGATTCATACCTCGATTCATACCATTCTGCTGCCATTTGCAGCCAAGAGCCTCTTGCGCTCTGGGCAGTACTAGCGAAGCTATGCCGCCCAAATCCTCAGAAGAGACAAAAGTCAAAGAGAAGCACTGCAGGAACCAGCTCGCGGCTCTTTTCGCAGAAGTTCGCCAGAATGTGGGTTCGGAAGGCTTACTGCGATGTATCAAGCGCGACACGGTACACCACCTGTGAGAGGCCCACTAGCCTCTGCGCGGCTGCTGTTTGAGGATGTCACGCTGTCTTGCCCCTACGCTGGTTCGTGACTGGTGCGGGTGGCGGGCCTGACTGGGCAGCGGCGCTTCCGCTCAAGCAACGCTTGCTTGGGTCTGTGAGCACGCGGGTCGCTTGAACTCCAAGTGGAGGTGGCAATGACGTTCGCCTCAGGCAGTGGCTCTGCGCCTTCCACCTAGTGCAGCAGCTTTCGCTAACCCACTCACGCAGAGTGACAGGTGTCTAGTTCAGGCCACTCACAAGCGCCCCAGGCTGGCTTGTAGCAACTAAGCGGTCCAAATTCTCACGGCGATCCAGTTGCCAGCGCACGGGAGCTTTGCAGTGTCCAAAGCCACAAAGCAAGAGTTCAGAGGCGCGCGAGCCATACCCCGAACCATACCCCCGAGCCATACCCCGGACCATACCTGCGACTCATCCCCCTTATACCAACCTCCCGGCACGGCCACGTCGAAAACACACATACCCTAATATATATGTATATATGTTGCAGTGTTGTTTGTGTGAGTATTTGTGTGTAGAGTGTGGGGGTTAATCGTCTAGACACAAGCCCGTCCAATGCCGAAAGAAACGCACGCAAAGCCCACACGAAGCCCACAGACAGAAGCCAGCCAGCACCCACACAACCCCCCCCTGTGTTTGGTTCACGGAACACTTGATCTCCTGCAACATTTGGCTCAAGGCCCCTTTTGTGTAACAATGCATCATTCATTATCGCGTGAAGCAAAAGAAACTTAGCAGGCCGCTTACAGGATTATCCACAAGACAATCCACCAGGGACAATCCATCCTCCAATCATCCACAGTGGCATATTGGATTCTCTCCAGAATAGATCCAGGGACCAACACAACGACCTCTACTACCACAGGGTACCAGTTTTCTTCTGGGATAGGCACCTGGAACAGTGGGCCTCAATTTGTGGTAGCGGAGCGGGTTTTCCAAGATGTCATCCGATGGAGAAGGCTTCATGGAACCCTATTCAAGTATGGCCAAAAATCCAGGCTATACGGAGGAAACACTAAATTAATCGATGACCGCCAAGCAGCCGCCGTCGCACGACGGAAAAGTCAGCTGGTTTAGGTGTGAAGAACTCGTGGACGACTGGGTGACCATCACAACGGTGGAAGCACCCAAGAGAGGACCTCTGCTCAAAAGCAGATTGACCGGTGATGCATATGTACAAGGCGGTCCTCCAAAACGACCTTTTGCAAGATCCTCATAAAGGAGTCAACTATTTCAAGAACACGCTGAAGAAGTACTTTTTGAAAGGTGCGACCATCGTGTATCTGTACAGGTTCCTCAGTTTCTTCAACCATAGAAGGCAGAACCAAGAGTTCCTCATTTTTACCTCAAAATTTGAAATCCTTCTTACGAGATTGAAGGCAGCATGGATGGACTTGATGCCCGTTTTCACGGCACAGTCCCCATGATTTCGACAGTCCGTACAGGACGCAAATGCAAGAACAATTGCTCGACATCAGCAAGCAGCCGGTGTCCGAGCACCGCCTCCAGCCCTGCTCAATGAGGATGATCCAGTAGTCCTCAGACAGTATATCCAAGGAATGCAGGACAGACAGCGGGGCGCACTTCCCTTCGGGGATAATCTCATTGCACAGTTTTTCATTATTCAAGTGAGCTGTCAGATCAGCAAAGAGAGAGACTGACAAGTGCAATGTCATTGAGAAACATCTCACTAGAAAACTACTCCTATGAAATGCTGAAGACGCACTACCATGAACTCTTCATCACGACGAGGACATCAATCCAAGATCCATCCATCCGACCTCAAGGAGGCAACCGAAGCAACACCTTCTTCATCATCGAGCAAGGTGAATACGAAGGAGAAGAAGGCTTCTGGGTTGAGGATGAAGAAGGACTTGAAGGATTCATGTCAAACAACGATGAAGAGACGTTCTGGGTCCTCGAGGAGAACGATGCGTTCATAGTAAGAAAAGTGTCGGGGCGGAACTTCAAGTTCAAGAAGAGAAAAGGAAAAGGAAAATCAGGAAACAAAAAAGGGCAGTCACCAACGAGGTGGTTTTAAACCCTTCAGAAAAAGCGGTTCTGGCGGAAAGGCCAATATGGCCAGCGAAAACTATGATCCCTACGACCAGGCATATTGGGGAAAAGGCCAAACGGAGAGACCGCCAGGGTAAATTGGACCCTGCGTCTTCGATATCACACAACTCCTCCATGCAGTACCAACATCGACGTCCTTGAACAAGGAACTGTACCGATCCTTCTCAGCATCAGCCAGATGCGGAACCTCTACATGACCATCGAGCACACACCTCAATGTGACAAGATCACATGCAAAGCCTTTGGCATGAACCGTCAAGCAGTTCCAGTGTCCGGTACAGGACATGCACTCGTCGATCTCGCTGGAGTTGTAAGAGTGAAGGCGCATGGAGAAATTGCTCACAAGGGCCTCACCAACTATGTCTATGGCGATGATAACAGCATCAAGTTTCCCTCCGGGGATCTCACCAAGAGCGAAACTGTTTGTGCAGCAAAATCATCCGAGACATAAGATCATTGGGTCTCAAAAGCAGGACCATTGGATCCTTGACAAGAAGAACAAGCAGCTCATCCGTGTGCACATCACGCCCCGAAAGGCGCTGTTCACACCAAATGGAGCCAAGGAATGTCCAATCAATCCTGATCACATTAGCCGAGAACGTACTACGGAAATCATTGATGCATCCGCAGGTGGAGATCCAGACATTTTAGAAGACAATTGGAGACTTACATCCCAGGCAAATAAACCGATGATTAACCTGTGGACAGGTAAGACCATTTTCACCTTCGCGGACAATTCGCTTAAGGACGAAGAAGCAGGTTCAGGATCGGCAGCAGACAGGATCATCGACAAGAGGGGCCGGTCGACTATTGAGCCAGATCCTTTCGCACCATCCTCAGAAGAACCAACATCGCTTCCGCTTGCCCTAGGCAGAATACACAAGCGATTGTCAAATCCCGAAGAGTTGAAGAAGCTCCACCTACAGCATCATCACATGACAACAGATCAGTTTCGACTTAGAACACGAGCACTTCATTTGCCGAAATCAACATTCGATCTATTCGAAAAAATCCAAAGTGAGTGTGAAGTTTGCCAAGCGGCAAAACATGCACCATCACGAAGCAAAACAAGTGGACTTCGAGCGGACACCTTTGGTGACATGACATTCATTGATCACTGTCAAGTTCCTCTTGGAACAGGAGAACACATCATTGTTTTTGTCATCCTGGATGGAGCAACACTGGCCGGTCATTAAGGACATGCTTTTTAGGCCTTTTTTTTTGGGTGCTTTTTCTGGACCGAAAACCTTGTTTTTTTTCGGGTGTGCATACTTTGTCAAAACAAGTCGTTTTTCGGAAAGGTTTTTTTGCCGAAAATCTTGGGGAGGGAGGGGGGCCTTGATGTTTG